TCCTCCTCCTCCTCCTCCTCCTCCTCCTCCTCCTCTTGCTCTTGCTCTTGCTCTTGCTCAAGCTGACGCTGCTCGCGCATCATACCACGCGCTCTTCGAACTTCGATATTGGCCCTTTGCCAACCAGCACTAGCATGATGTTTCTGAATGCGCTCATTGAGCAACGAGATGGGCGGTTTGACACCGGGCGGGAAGAGCGGAGGAGGTCTGCTGCTGCTGCTGTTGCTGTTGCTGTTGCTGTTGCTGTTGCTGCGTGACGAAGTGGAAGTTGATTCTTCTTGGGCTGCCGCTGCTGCTGCTCGAGTGTGAGAAGGAGCAGGTTTGGGCGCTCCTCCTTTGACCCAATCGGGCAAAGGAGCAGCTTTGCTACTCGTTGCTCCGCTAGACTTGATCGAGGCATTCTTCTTGCGCGGCGCCATGATTCCCACGATATTCTCTCTCTCTCTCTCGCTCTCTCTCTCCCCCCGTTACGCAGGCTCGCTTGCTAGAGTCCGAGTGCCGAGTGCCGAGTGCAGTTGTGAGTGCTGAGCAAGGTGTTGAGGAGTCCTGATGGCGAAATGTGAATGTGAATGGAAATCTTGTACGTGCAGACAGACGCATCACATATGAATCACAATCGTGAATCAAGACGCGAGACTTACTCTCTCTGGCAGATTCACGTAATTCACATTCAAGAAAGAATTCACGATTCAAGAATTCATGAATTCATGAATTTCAGCGCCTGCCTGCGTTGTTGGTCATACGCTCACGTGACCCGCGCACTCACCAAGGATGTTGGCCCCGTTGGCGCGCACGGACGAAAGATTAGCCGCGGTCCGCCGCGGTCCGCCGCGCCGCCAATCTTGAATCACAAATCGTGAATGTTGGTTGGAATCAAGAATATCAAGTCAAGCAGCACGAATTGACGATTTCTTTGGAATTGACCCCCATCCACCACTCGTGCGTGACTTTGACTTGGCTCACTTCCGTAGGTAGCAGCGTCCAAAGGGCCTCCTGAGCATCGCTCTCCACTCTCCACTCTCCACTCTCCACTCTCCCTTCTCCACTCTTGACGCTTGAATCTGACCGTGACTGTGCCACTGCGACGCACCCACCCACCCACCACCTTTGCTATTCGCCTCGATCCCCCTTCCCTCGACTCGGGTCAGCACAGCCAAACGCAAGCAGGCAAGCAAGCAAGGCAAGCAATGTCCGCCCTCCCACCACCACCACCAGCGCTGCCGCTGCCGCTCCAGCTCCTCTCTCATCTCCTGAGTCAAACAGCTTATCTAAACAAAACCCTATCCCAACCCATCTCCTCCTCCTTTTATCCCTTCACCTGGCTATCCACACTTCACGCTTTGAGGACTTCTTTGGCTTTCAGAGCGCTTGCGGGTTGGGCTAGGGCTAGGGCTGGGGCTGGGAGGAGCGAAGATGAGGGGCTGGGCATGCAGAATGGCGAGAGGAGGGGGGAGGGGCAGAAAAGGCAGAGGCGGAGGCCAGGTCCGGGCTGGATGCAGGACACGGTGGGCTTCTTGATCATGGTGAGTCTTGCCGGGCGGGGCGGGGCGGGGCTGCATGCTGTCACGTGGTGGAGCGTGGAGAGAGATGTGGATGTGTGTGATGGACATCTGACCGTTAAGCGTACTGCTGTTCTACCTCGCTTCAACTGCGCGCACGGTGTCAAGGCATGGGGAGGAAGTTTCGCAGTGGCGTATCTGAACAATACGGTTCCCACGCAACTGCTCTTCATCTCTGCCCCGCTCAACTACCTCTCTGCGCATCTTGTGCTGCAAAGCCTGCTCTGCTTTGCTCCCGCGCCCAACGCTGCGCTTCTCGACACGTGCCTCTTTGTGCTGGATGGGGCGATGCGAGCGCAAGCTGTCAGTCTAGGCGTCACGCTACCCTCGCTGCACGCAAACCCACTCGTTCGCACCTCTTTGCCCTTTCACATCCTCTGCGGCGTGCTAGCAGCCACAGCAGGCTCGCAAGTCGCAGGCATGCTGGGCATCTTTCACCACACCTGGACACTCGACGCTCCGCCGTTTGTGAGAGCGCAAAGCTTGCTGCAAGTCGTCGACATTTTCGCCGCTTTTTTGGCCGCCATGTCGTACGGCTGCATTGCACACTCCCACCCATCCTACACCGCCCTGCATGCGGCATGGTGGAGCAAGTTTGCATTTGTTTATGCTGATCAGCAGGCCAACGAGGATGAGGTTGCACAGAGCGGCAATGTGCGCGCATCGCCATGGCCATCGAAGGCAGAGCAAGTCGAGATGGCCAAAGCGGCAGCTACGATCATCATTGCGATTTGTTTCGCTGTCAGAGCTTTCATGATCCATTGGCTGCCTGCAGCGACGACGACGATGACGACAAGAACGTTGCGGAGGAGGAGCAGCGGGAGGACAATGACCGGCACGGGCACGGGCACGGGCACGGGCACGGCTGCTACGACTCGCAAGGACATCGCTTCCTCTGCAGCAGCTTGGCAAGACGATGCTCAGCTCGTCGCTTCTTCCCATTCAGAAAAAGCATCAGCATCAGCATCGTCCAGCGCTACTTCGACAAGGAAAAGGAACAAGAACAAGAAGATGAACTAGAGGGGGCGTCCCTCGAAGGGGGTGAAAAAGGAAAAGTGTGAATGGTCGGACCCGTACGCCAGCGCAGCGCATATATCCCTTGCTCGATTGCGAATACGAATCACGAATACGAATTTTGATTGCAAGGATTCATGATTCAATTGCCAACTTCACACGAGCACGTGACTCGTGGTGTGACCTGCTGCGCACACGTTCGGGAATACAAAAGTTCCGTTTGGGCTTACCC